AGGAAGGAAGGAAGGAAGGAAGGAAGGAAGGAGAGAGAGAGAGAGAAAAGAACAAGGAATGAGGAGGGCTGGAAAAGGGAAAGGGAAAAGAAGGAAGGGAGGAAGGGAGGGGAAGGAAGGGAGGGAGGAAGGGAGGAAGGGGAAAAGAACAAGGAATGGGGAGGGATGGGAAAAGGAAGGGAAAGGAAGGAAGGAAGGAAGGGGGAAAAGAACAAAGAATGAGGAAGGGTGGGAAAGGGAAAGGGAAAAGAAGGAAGGAAGGGACAGTTTGAAATTTTCAAAACTCCCTATCAAAAGATTCTTAAACTGGAAGCTTTAAAACAAAAATGCATTTTTTTACTGCAAATTGTGGTGAAATGTTTGAGAGTACAGGATTATTTAAAACTTGAGAAAATTACTTTATTGGACTAATTCCCAAAATCCCAGCATGGCCAATACCCATGAAGTTCAGCGAGTGTTCTGGAGCCGCTAGCTATCTCTCAGCCTAAGCAACCTAGCAGGGTTGTTGTGAAGGACCAACAGGGGCAACATTTATGCTGCTCCTTGGGGGAAGGGTATATAAATAACATCAACAAAATATATCGATGTAACAAACAAAAATTGCCTGTCCTGTTTGTCATTGAGAGGAATGGGGCCAGTATAAGCACTTAGGGAAAATACATTGGATATCCTTCAAATGCTTGGCTCTATGTGCTCCTCCTACAGGAGTTATAACATAAGACGATACAAAACAATCTATTAGTTGAATACATTGGACCTACAAAATATTGACCAAGATGAAACATCAGTTATCTACTTCCAGCCTCCCTCAAAATCATAAAATTGTGGTTGCATACAGCAGCCTTCCCCAACTTTAGTCCTCTCCAACTGTGTTGATCTACAGCCGCTGTCAGCCCCAGAAAACCTATGGAAGTTGTAGTCATGTGAAAGTCAGAATCAAAGCTTGTGCCAAAACGACCACATTTATATTTAATATGCTTATATTCTAGAAAATATAGATTTGTTCTTTCAGGGAGAACACCGGACTTACTGGAACAATATCGCTGTATTATTTGGATGCAAAGCTCACAATCTTATTGCTCATCCAGTTTATTATCACTGCCAGACCTAACCATATGGGTTGAAGGATATAGCTCAGTGTGAATGTTTTGTATGAAGGTGGTCCCAAACTGAATTCCCAGTGTCTCCTGAAACAGAAGTTAGCAGAGTTGTCTTTTGGATTCCATCTCTCAAAATCACCTTAGCCAAAATCCTAGAGAGCTAGGATTTTGTAGACAATACAGAACTAGATGGGTAAAGAATCGGTCCTTGTATAAGGTAGCTTCAGCAACCTCCCTGCTAGGTAGGCACAGGATCTCTGGGACACATCAGCATGAACTCCCAGCCTTGTCAAGTGCTGCAGAAAGGTACCAAAGACAATGCACCACCAAGCAGTCCAGGAACATGCCACATTCCAGACCTGATCTCCTAGCAAAAGGTCACCACACAACGGGTGACCAAGGCATCCCCTGTCCCAAAGCCAGGTCTGATGCTGCTACGATTTGCCCTTTTGCTTTGTCCAAAGATGGCAAACTTTGATTTTCGTCTACAAAGACTGGGATTCCTCAGACATGATTTCATCAGCTGTGGCTCCCTGCCAGGGACTGACAGTTCCTATGTTGTTGTTGTTAACTGCCTTCAAGTTGATCCCAACTCATGGTGACCCTGTGGATGAAACATCTCCAAGACTCCTTATCCTCCATTGCTCTGCTTAGGTCCTGCAAACTCATACCTGTGACCTCCTTAATAAGAGTCCATCCATTTAGCATGCAGTCTTCCTCTCTTTCTGTCACCCTTTTGTAGCATTGTTGTCTTTTCCAATGAGTCAAGCCTTTTCATGACGTGGCCAAAGAATGACAACATGAACTTTATCATCTTGGCTTCCAGGGAGATTTCAGGCTTGATCTGCTCTAGGACCCATTTGTTTCTCTTTTTGGTCACCCGCAGTATCCTCAGCACTCTTTTCCAGCACCACATTTCAAATGAATTGATTTTCCTCTTATCTACTTTCCTCACTGTCCAGCTCTCACATCCATACATGCTAATAGGGAATACAATGGCTTGTATGATTCTAACTTTCATGAAGGAATAAGTATTAATATGATGGAACTGGCCAGTATCTTCTGGCAAGGCTTAGATAACCCAGTAGATCAATGTCAATGGTTAAAGGATGGCAGAACATCTCATCTACATCCTAAGGATGCAGCAGTTTGGATTTGTCCAAGCAACTTGGTTGCAAGGAGATAATAGAACGGCACTAGTGCCTTGAGAACAGCACTAATCAAGGGCCCTTCGGCACTACACAATTATAGTGCTATGACTCCACTTTAATTGCCATGGTTCCTTCCTATGGAATTCTGGGATTTGCAGTTTAGAGAGAGCTATTTAGAATTCTCAGCTAGAGCACTTGAGTGCCTTACCAAACTACAGATTCCAGGATTTCACAGGATGCAGCCATGGCAGTTAAAGTGGAATCATAGTGCTATAATTGTGCAGTGTGAAAGAGCCCCGGTTTCAAATGCATACAATCCTTGTAATTTGCCAAGTGCAAAGGAAACACAGTGGGCTTTTAACTGCAAAACCTCAGTTGAAGAATGCTACTTCCAAAGTACCCCTTGCATCCATCTCATTACTGACATTTGGGGTTCACCCAAAACCTTGCTGGCAGGGGAAGGAAAGTGTTTGGTCTTCTTTGGAGGCCTCCAATGGACATATTTTTGTCTGTGGGACTAGGATGGGGGAAAGCCACATTCACATCTCTATTCAGCCCTGAAGCTCACTTCCTCGGTCTAACCTACCTCACAAGGTTGCTATGTATATAAATAAAAAATGGAATAGGAAAATCAAGTGTTTCACTTTGAGATTCCATGGAGGACATGGTGTAAAGTATAAAAAAACATATTTAGCCTTTATTTAAGAGTTTTGAAGCTACCTTGAGACTTGTATGAAAAAAAATCAAGGACAGGAATGATTTATTAAAGAAGCAAATCAATTGTAGAGCCTTGCAGAAAATTGTAGAACCACAGAAAAGCTTTCCAGGTTTCCTTCCACATAAGCTTGTGGTAGAACATTTTCAAATCACTACATCATGCTGGCTCTCATTCCACTCCTAGTCCTTGCTATTTTCCAAGGACTTCAGGGAGATATTTATGGGTCTTTGTATCTACCCATTTAATAGTCACAACAACCCTGTGATGTATACTAGGATAAGAATGTCCAACTAACTGAGCATCATGGTCTCTCCATGCTCAATCTGACCATTTGTGCAACTGGTTTAGGGTTACTCAGTGAGCTGTAGTGAGCACATAGGGGCCTGAATTCAGATCTCACTAGATCGACTCCAACACTGCAAGGAGAATATCACATTGGCTCAGTTTTGATCCCAATTTCCAAAGAGTAGCCTCACAGCCTCAAAAACCACCAGCAAAACTCCAAGAAAGTTTGGAGGCAAAAACCAATACAAAGCTTAGGTGTGTGAGCCTTTTTTAACAGGGAAAAATCCCCAGCTAAACCCATCTCCCCACCCTTACAACATAAAGCCTGGGAAAGTTACCTATTTGCACAACAAGTCCCAGAATCCCCCAGCCAGCATGATCACACTCAATTTTGGGAGCTGTAGTCCAACAAAGTAACTTTGCCATGTCCTGAATTTGCCTTCAAGTCAACCTCTGCTGCCTGTACTCTTATACTCCTTGACATGGAATGCCAGATTAATCTATTTCTCTCCCATCCAGTCCCTAGTTCCTTTATTTTTGTTTTAATGTGTATTTGTTAAAATGCAAGTACTGCTCCAGAAAAGTGTGGCTTTTTAAAAGAACAGAAATGCTGAAACTCTGTTGTGTGCACAGATGCACATGTATTGAGCAAGCAGATGCCAAGGAGGAGAGAGTTCAGCATTTTGTAATAGTCATATAGTGCAGAAAAAGAAAGTGTAGCAGGTGCAGTCAGTTCCTTCTATCTTCCTCCTTTTACACAAGCATCACAGGTACCAAAACTGCTCACCAGATACAACCACACACAAGCACCTCGGTTCATGTTGCATCCCTTTTTTTAAAACTCTGTATATGAATGTGCATGTTCATCTCTCTCTCCCTCTGTTGCTGTGTGCCTTCAAGTCATTCCTGACTTAGGATCACCTTAAGGCAAACCTGTCATAGGTGTTGTTGTTTTTTGGGCAGGTTTCTTCAAAGGGGGTTTGCCATTGCCATCCTCTGAGGCTGAGAGAGTGTGACTGGCCCAAGGTCACCCAGTGGGTTTCCATGGCTGATCTGGGATTCGAACTCTGGCCTCCAAAGTCATAGTCCAATGCTCAAACCACTACACCAAGTTGGCTCTACTCTCTCTCTCTCTCTCTCTGTGTGTGTGTGTGTACACACACACACACACACACACTGATTCTGCAGTATTGAAAACAGATTTTAGGAGCACTGAGATTGCTGGGACAGATTATTAAAATACAAAAGAATAATAACTAAGTAAAAAAAAATAACAAAGGTGAGAAATGTATAGAGGCTCTCTCAATAGGCATTACATTACAGATAGATAGATAGGGATATATATAATAAACTATGACTAAATACACCACTGAAAGCTGAAATCTAAGTGATTTGACCTTAATAAGAAAGATGTTTCCATGAGATACAGTGTGCATGTTCCAAAACCCACTCCAACACGCAGAATCAAGCATATGCAGTATTAAGCTCAAATGGCACATTAGCCACTATCTGAGCAATAAAATTATCCTCCCAGACAGGTTCCTTTTACACCGAAACAAAGGAAAGAAGATGCTTCAGGGATGCAGTTTCTTGGAAGATGGTTTGTCCTTGCAGAACTGCTGTCTCTTCAGATGTTTTGGCACTAGAGCCCCAGAAGCTCCAAAGCCTCTGTTAAGGGAAGGTGCCATCTCCAAATATCCAGAAAGCCAAAGGTCACCAGCTCTCATGTGGACATTTTTCATACTCCAGGTTTGGAATTGGAGTATGCAATGCAGAGGGAAGCCACAGAACAGCTTTGCCCTTGGAGTCTCCTTGTGCTGAAAAGTTAACATTTTAGGATGACATACCAACTGCAACCCTGTTCGGAGAAAGAGAATTTCCCCCCCAAAAAATGGGCCACAGGCTTGAGAGACGTGCCAATGGTCTATGCTGTCTCCATATCTTAGTGATACTTGTTATTGCCTTCTGCTGAAAGAAACAGATGCTGAATTTGCATGAAATCCTTCAAAACCATGTTGCATTTGGCAGACAGCTTTGGTTTCCTTGTTTGAATCATCTCATCCAAGGACTCTGGGGTGTTCCCTCCATTGGCACATTCGGGTGGCTCTTTCTCTTGCCAGTTAAATTGTCCTGCTGGAAGTCTCTTCTCCAAAAGCACATATAATCCTTGAACTAGTGCTAAGCATCATGAGTATGCATAGAGAGATGACCAAAAGGAGATCAAAACCAGCCAGCACACACTAGGCAACTCAAACACAGATGAATTACGGTTTTAGATTGCTGCTTCCAGAATCCCCCAACCAGCATAGAACCTGGCCATTTTTGCTGATGGATTCTGGGAGTTACAATCCTCAATATGAGTTTGTCTTGAGCTCTGACCCATTGGTTCCAAAGATTTCAGATAAACTAGATCAAGTCCTCCCATGTTCTCAGATGGCATAGAAAATCTGGACCTCACTATCTGTCCAGCCTTCACTTAACCACATGAGTACAGTCAGCCTTCCGTGTCAGTGATTCAAAGGGCTGACTGTAAATGTGGATGATGATATTTCTAGGAATTGGTTCACACTGCCTTCATATATGCTACACTGTGAACTTACTGTGGACCAATGCAGAGATATGGCACAAACAATGGAAGTTTCATATAGAATTGGAAGAGACTACAAATGCCATCCAGTCTAACTCCTTGCCATGCAAGAAGACACAATCAAAGCACCCCTGACAGATGGCCATCCAGCCTCTCTTTAAAAACCTCCAAAGAAGAAGACTCCAAGGCAGCATAGCCCTGTTGAACAGCTCTTGCTGTCAAGAAGTTCTAATTAATGTTTAGGTGGAATCTCTTTTCCTGTAGTTTGCATCCATTGCCCCATGCCCTAGTCTCTGGAACTGCAGAAAACAAGTTTCCTCCATGCTCAATATGACATCCCTTCAAATATTTAAATATGGCTATCATGGAACCCTTAACCTTCTCTTCTCTAGGCTAAACATCTCCCTAAACTGCTCCTTATAGGACATGGTTTCCAGACCTTTCACCATTTTCAGGATTCATCACCTCAAAACATCATTTTTAATTAATTAGCTTTTGTATCCGCCTCTC